CCCAGGCTGCTCCCCCCATGCGCTAGTGGGAAAGAAAGGACTAGCTACTGCCTGCGTGTCAGAGTCTTCAACCAGCTCCTAAAGAAACAGCTGAGAGAGGGCAGAGTCTGGAATAGGCCATAGCGACACAGCAGAGTTGGGGGTTCAGGTCTGGATGGCTGCCCAGGGCTTTTGGGTCACGTCTTGGCCCATCTCCCCAAACTTTCTCAAGCTGGGACCCTGCCAAGGGCTGACATATCAGACAGAACTTGGGCTGAACTCTGGGTGTGGGAGGTAGGGGTGCAGGGAGCTGGCCTAGAGCACCCCCTACGAGACCAGGCCCTGCAGGGGAAGTGAGCAGGCGGTGGGACCCGCTGTGTGCTCTTCCTGTGCCGCCCTTGCTGGAAAAACTCCTGCAGGGCTGAGCTGGGCATGAGGAAAGGCAAGGAGGGGGACCAGCAGGCCAGCTGGTACCCTGTCGGGTTGGGTGGAGACCTCTTGCCTCCAAGCCCCACTCACAGCTCCCACCTGTGCCCCTTTGTCCTCTAGGTTTTCCGCAGAGCGGACAAAAATGGTGAGTGTGCCCTCCGTGGGTCCCACAGTTGGGGGTAGGGTGGGGCCATCAGGGAGGTCCAAGGGAAAGTTGTGGGTTTGGGGGGGCACAGTTAAGAGTGGAGACAAATCTTGGGGGTGTCCAAAACAGGAGCATCAATCAAGGCATCCTTCCCAGAGGCAGTGATGTTCCAAGTTTGTCAGGACAGAGAGCAGCAGTGGCTAGAGGTGGAGGTGGGGGCTTAGCGCCCTGGTGTTTCCCATGCATGGCCTCGTGCTGTCCTGACAACCACCAGTGTGTGGGAATTCTTCACCCCATTTCACAGACAAAGGAGCAGAGGCCCAGACAGGTGAAGCAGGTTGCCTGAGGTCACACAGCCTTTAATTGGCGAGCCTCAAACCTAGGTCTGTGGTGACACTTGGTCCCAGGCTCTCTGTGTGAGTGGCTTGGAGGAGGGGTCAGTGGAGACGAGGCTCTGTGGGAGATTTTATTCAGATTTTTAGAGGGCCTAGTACCTTTCCATGTGACCCAGGGCCCTGGGAAGGCTTGGAGGACACAATTAAGCCTACCCCTTGGGCAAGGATAAAGCTGGGTCCAGTGTCCAGGGAGTCAGCTCCTCTCTGGGTCCTGGGCCATCTCAGACCCTGGTCTGGGAAAACCTTGGAAGCGAAAGCCCTTAGGGGACCTGGCAAACAATATCAATGCCCCTAGATGATTGGGAGCAGCCCAGTGGGCCCTGATTGGCCAGTGGAGGGTCTCGGCTGAGGCAGCCAGTCAGCCGTGAGCTCCTTTCATCTGGGGTCTTCAAACCATCTTGAGACAAGGTCATGTCTGCACTCCTTGCCCCTTCTCCTTGTGTCTCTTCAAATTCATGAAGACTGTCCCAACCCATTGATCAGGACACAAGTTTTCACTTGGATTCAGGGCATTCTGTCTGGGGACGCTCAAACCCCCCTCCCCCCAACACACATACTCGGCTGCCCCCACCCATCTGCTTATAGACCTTGCACATCCTTCAAACCAAATCCCCAGTGTCTTGGACCATCCCACTCAAGTATTCTCAGCCTCTGCTCACATGGCCCCTGTGATGGATGGAGAGCTCATTCCCTCCTGAGCCAGCCTGCTACTTCTTACAGCGGCTCCAACTATTAGGAAGATTCCATCTGCCTCCCTGTGGCTTCTCTGCACCTTGGAGTGAGGCTGGCTCTGGCTCCCCAGTCCTCCCAAGTGATGTCTAGGCCCTGCCATGCTCTGGCCGTGTCCCAGCCTGTTGTTTGTTTCTTCATTTGGCAAACATATTATTGAGTCCCTACCCAAGGTCACATATATACTGCCCTGTCCATTGGATGCTGGCAAAATGGACCCTATTGCCTTCAGTGGACACCTTTGGGGTCCCCAATCCTTTTGTCCCCAACAGTCAGACCCCCCCACCCAGGAGCTCAGAATCTCATCCCACCTGGCCAGGGGCTGTGAGGCTTTTGGGAGCCCAGACCTGGTAGCAGGGGTGAAGTCAAAGGTCAGGGATATGGGCCGGCCCGGTGGCGCACTGGATAAGTGCGCTGCTTGGGAAGCGCGGCGGCGCTCCCGCCCGAGGGTTCAGATCCCACATACAGACCGGTTCCCGCTCACTGGCTGAGCGAGGCGCGGGGGCAACGCTGAGGGTTGCAGTCCCGTTGCTGGTCCCCGGTCCGGTGCGGGGGCAACACTGAGGGTTGCGATCCGTTGCCGGACACGGAAAAAGACAAAAAGACAAAAAAAAAAAAAAGGTCAGGGATACTGACTCTGCTCCCTGTTCCCCACCCCCAGATGATGGTAAGCTCTCATTTGAGGAATTCCAGAATTACTTTGCCGATGGTGTTCTCAGTCCAGGGGAGCTGTGGGAACTGTTCAGCGGCATTGACGCGCATCCCACTGAGTGAGTACGAGAGGTGATGGCTGAACCATGAGTGTTTGTGAGGCCAGGTTGTCCCAACCGCACTGTGTTCCCTGCTGCCTCAGTTCTTTGTGTAGGACAGGAGGGGAGGGGGCAAGGAGAAAGGTGCCAGGACTTGGTGCCAACTTTACCCACCCACCCACCCCCCTCCCCAGCTTCAGGCTTGCCCACAACACTGCTTCCAGCTGGGACCCCAAAATAGCCAGGCCTGAGTCACCACCTGTGGCTCAGCCCCTATCCCTGCTTCCTGCAGGGACTAGGGGATGCCTGGGGACAGCTGGGCCCCCCCTGCTTCCACCCAAGGATGCAGGTGCAGGGACAGGCACACACCTCCCCACGTGTGCCCCCACATTTACACGCCTTGGCACGAGTGTGTGCTCCTTCCCAGGCTTCCTCACGTGGGGGCACACGCATCCACCACCCAGCTGCTCCTCCTCTTTTCCCTTCTCTCATCTCCTTAGCATGAATCCCAGACTCTGGGGCGGCATTCCAGGCTCCCGAGACTTGGGCTGGATCCTTTGTCTGCAGTGCTCTCCCTACTCCACCACAGGACACCCCAGTCAAGTTCCTTGCCCTTCAAGGCCTAGCTTAGGCAGCCCCCTCCTCCAGGAAGCCCTCCCTGACCTACCCAGTCAGTACCCCATGCCTTCCTTGGTCTTCCCTGGACCTGGCTTCCCCTTCCCAGCTCTGACCACTTCTCCATGGCCTGTATCCACATCTGTCTCCCCCTGGCCTGAGATCCCCTTGGAGGCCGAGAGGGATCTGAGTCTTTGCCCTTAGAGTGTTTGATGGGGATAGTAGTACTCTTTCTCCTCTTTCCCAAGGACTCTGCCCACTGAGCAGCTTAACCTGGGGTGGAGCAGAAGTTGCCTCCTTGTCAGGCTGAGTTGGGAGTTGGGAGGGGAGTGGGACTTCCAAGTCCCAGTTCACAGGCCCAGGTCTAAGAATCTGAAGGGCACATTCTCTTTTCCCTGCAGCAATTTAGAAACGGAGAAACTGTGTGGTGAGTAGGCCCGCAGGAGCTCTTGTCTCTCGGGACCCTGGGGCAGGTGGGGTGGGAGGCTGCCGGCGCTCTCCTGATGGAACAAGATGGACTGGCCTCAGGATACGAAGCCTGCTTGGTGCTGAGGAGTTCCAGGTTGGGTGGATGGGTGGGGGGCTCTGGAACCCTTGAGCACCTCCTCTGTCCACAGACTACTTCTCAGAACACCTGGGTGTCTACCAGCCTGTGCTAGCTGCGCTGGAGGCACTGAACCGTGCAGTGCTCACTGCCATGGACACCACCAAGCTGGTGAGTGGAAGGGCTGATGGTGGGAGGGGTGCAAAATGAGGTACAGGGTGTCTGCTGTGCTGTGGGACCCTCCACTGTCCTCTAGCTCAGGGCTGTGGAGCTAGAGGCCTGGGATCAGATCCTGGCCCTCCCACCTTGTGGCTGTGTGCCTTTCCCTCTCTGAGCCTCGGTTTCCTCCTCTGTAAACCAGGGATAATAATAGAGCCTACCTCCATACACTCATTGTGACAAATGTGAATGAAGGCAGGGATTTTTGTCTGTTTTGTTCTCTGATCTGTTCCCAGCACCCAGAACAAGGCCCGGCACACAGTAGGTGCTTCATACCTGGAGCTGCTGCTACTGTTTTTATTATTGGCCAGACCTAAGTGTTAGGGCTGTCAAGCGCAGGAGCCAGCAGGGATGGGCTGGGGCATGGCGGGCCGGGCTCACACGTCTACAGGCCTGTGCTGGTGCATGGAGCCTATGGGGCGGGGCCTGGCCCCAGGCCATATGTGAGTAGGCAGGTCTGTGTGCGCCCATGTTTGTGTGCATGTGTGAACACATGTGCACACAAGCATAAACAGGGATGACAGCCAGGCCCTTGGGTGGTGACTTTGAAAAAATAAGCTGCCCCTCCCTTTGTGTGTTCCTTTTAAGAAATGTCTTCCTTTGCCCCATAGCTCTTACAAGGGGGAGGTGGGGTGGGGAGCATGCAGTGAGGAGGCCTGGGATTGTGCCTGACCCCACTTTTTACAGAGGGGAAACTGAGGCCCTCAGTGTTAATGATCACCTGAGCACACAGCTAGGGACAGGGTTCCTCCTTCTGATTGCTTTCACATGAGATTTAGTAGCGTTTCAAAGGCCTGGCCTGGCATAGGGTGGGGGTCCAAATGGTACATGATGAGGGATTGGCGTGTTGTGGGGACTTCCATATCTGTGGCCTGGACACCAGTGGAGGCACATCCTTCCTTACTGCCATGGAAACGGGACCCTGGGGTGGGCAGCTGGACTGGCATTCTTTGAACTGGCAGTGGTTGGGGGAATTCAAACTGCAGGTCAAAATGAGGGTCTCATGGGCCACAGCCACCTCCTCATGGCCCAGAAAAGGGTAGGGGGTGGCCCGTTGCCACACAATCACCCTGCCAGCTGCAAACACTTGAGACTCTTTAATGGTGCTCCATGCCTCTGAGAGAGCTGCAGCTCAGCCCAGAGCCTCTGCCTCTGCAGTGCTCCCTCTGGCACTACCCCCTCCTGTCCAACATGACTCAGTTGAACACGTCGTGCACTAGCCTGGAGCCACATTCCTGGTACATGGCCCGGGTCATCCAGTGACATCGGAAGGAGTGCAAGGAAGCCACCATGGAGCCGCCTGTCCACACAGCGCAGCCGCGCCCAGGCTTGGCCACCAGGCGGGGCCGTAGGGCCATGTAGCCGTGCCGCTGGCACTGCGCCTCCAGCTCCATGTCCAGCCGCTCAACGAAGCCAGGGAAAAGCGTGGAGCCACCTGCCAGCACCACGGCGTTGGCCAGCCTTGTCTGCAGTGTCGTAGGCATCTTCTGCAGTGCCCGGAAGGCCAGTGTGGGCAGGCCTGGTTCAGCCTGGCCTAGCAGACCCGGCTGGAAGATAGGTTCGGGGCAGCGGAAGCGCTCGCTGCTGAGGCAGACGGAGCACCCATTGCCCATGCAAAAACTGGCCGGATGGTGGCGGGCAGGGTCACAGAGATCGCCCTCGAAGTCCAGCGACACATAGCAGCACCGCTTCTTGAGCTGTGTGATGTCCTTGCGGGGCAGGGCCCGCTGCCCGAGGTAGGGGCACGCTGCCACCAGCAGGTCCCGCAGGTAGCGCGACAGGGTGGTGCCTGCCACATCCTGCCGGAAGGTGGCCTTGTGCCACGAGTGGCCCGCGTAGATAGGCGTGGCATGGCACACGCCCGCGCCCGCCTCCACGGCCAACCCGCTGAGCGCGCCGGCGGAGCAGAGCGCCAGCATCGCGGTGCTGGCCATGTGGCACGCGGGCACTGCCAGGGCCTCGAACAGCAGCTCAGCCACCCTCTCGCGGTCGGCGGGCGGCGCCGACGGCGAGTCGCTCACCAGCACGGGCCACTGCTCGGGGCACACCCTCAGGCCGCCCACCAGCAGGCGCTCCCACAGCCCCTCCAGTGCCTCCCAGTCCACCACCACACCGTGCTTGATGGGGTGCGCCCGCGCCACACCGCCTGCCAGCTCGCAGCCCGGCGCGCCGGGCAGCACGGGCCGGTCCCAGCTGGGCACCAGACTGGAGCTCTTCAGCACGATGCGCGGCTGCTTCTCGCCCGCAAAGCCCGCCTTGGTGAAGCCCGAACCCTGGTCCACCACCACCGCGACGCGGCCCAGTAAGGGCGGCCCGCGCATCCGGCGGCTCCCGGACCTCGAAGCCACCATCCGGGCTCGGCTCCGCCCCTCCGCGCCTCTGAGCCTTGTGTGCCCGAGACCCCGCCTCTAGCTTAGCCCGTGGCCCCACCCTCCAGCTCTTGGCTCTGCCTCCCGCGCCTCAGTTCCTCCTTCTCTGGGCTAGATCACAGTCCCTCTCAGTTCTTGCCTCCGCACGCGGCCGGCCAGAGCGGCTGTCTCCTTTTTAGCTTGTGGCTGCGCCCCTAGGCCGGAGGTCCCGCCTCTGATTCCAGTGTCAGCCTCTGCTCTCGCTGGACTCCAGATGCTTCTGGCCCTCTTCGCCCTCTTCTGGCTCCAGGCTCCACCCTCTCAGGACTCGCTCGTCTGTGCAGCTCCTCTCCCCCGGCCCTTTGCTGAGGTGGATGAGGAGAGGGCCAGGTCAAGTCCTTTTAGTTATTGAGAAGTCTCTGGGAGGAACAGAGCTCAAGAATGAAGGGGCCTCGGGGCGTGGCCATATGGGCATATATTACCTCCTGGGGACCCAGGAGTCCAGCCCAGCCCTTGAGCCCCAGGCAGTCTTCTGGCACCTCTCACCTGGGCTTGACAAAAGCAGTTACTGGTTGTGGAGGTGGGAGGGGGTGGTCAGAGAAGAAAGAAAAGAATTTGGATTGGACTCATTGTGACCTCAGTCCTCAACACCCGCTGCGCTTCCACAGTCCCCTCCCCACATGAAAATTCCCTGGACTCATCTCTCTCCTGGACAGGGCCAAGGGCAGCGATTTTTGCATCCAGGGGGTCTGGCCTCAGCTGTCCAGCACAACTGGTTTGATTCCTTCCCCAGACCACTTTGGATTACCTGACGTACTCTGGCCAGATGTGCAGCCCTTCCCCTCTGGATGCTAAAGAGAAAGGTGGTAATCACAGATCTACAGCTCCTCTGAGGAACTCTGTGTGCTCCGCCCTGAGAGGCCCAGGCAGCCCACAGAGGGGCCCCACCTTCAGGGGCTTCCATGAGTGGACTCACATGGGCCTGAGTTTGTGACTCAGTTCTGAAGCTGACTCACTGTGCCACCCTGAGCAGGTCCTAATCTTCCTCTGCGTTCAGTTTCTTCCTCCAAAAGGTAATAATCCTCACACTGGAAGGAGGCCAGTTCTTGTCCCTGCAGAGCCTCATTATTCTCTTTAGGACCATTTTGGTTGCGAGTAGAAGACTCACTCAGGTGAACTTAAGCCATAATAGGGATTTTATTACAAGGATTTTGTACATCTTAAGTATGTTAAGAGCAAGGGTGAAGTCAGGGTTTAGGAACAGGGTCTGACTGCGGGGCTGTGGGGAACACTGTTTTTGCATTGTGTTTTTTATTCTTCTAAAGACTGGCTTTAGCCTGTGTGTGTTCAGGTAGAAAACATGGTCTCTTACAGCTCCTGAATTACAGTCCCAGAGAAGGGGTGATCGGACCAGTACGGGCCAATCACATATGGTCAGAGGCGTGACCCATGGAAGAACATATTTACCCTGATTGTAACCATGTGGATGGTAGGGAAAAGTCAGTTCACATAATGAGCAGGGGCGATGGGATGGGTCGTGCAACCTCCAGCCTGATGCAGGCGATGTGGAGGGGATGTCGATTGTGTGGATGGTGACAAAAGTGCATCTTCAGCAGAGCTGGGCCTGAGGCTCTAAAGGGCTGGGATCTTCACCCATGCAGCATCCGCTCCCCAAAAGGGGCATTCTGAGGTTGGTCACGAGTGTAGCAGGAAGGAAGTCTGCAAGTTCAGCAGGGTTGCGGTGGCATTAGGATCTGGAGCTGGGTGGGACCCAGGACAGTGAGGAGAAGCAGCTGGGTCCTGCCCACAGTAAGTGCGCTGGGCCTCTTGTGAGTGATTTAGGGAGTAAGCCTCATACTGGAGACCACAGTGGCTCTATGGCCAGACAGCGGGGGTGAAGGTGGCAGCCACTGAGAGGCCCCAAGAGAGGAAGACTGAGGCTGGCGCACTGGGCCTGCGTATCCCTGTAACAGGTTTGAGCTTTTCTCTGTGGGTGGTGGAGGACCAGTGCGAAGTTATAAGCAGGAGTGAACTGCACTGGACAGATGAGTTGTTTGGAAGAAGCCTTTGGCTGTGATGCGGAGAGGGGAATGGGGCAGGCTAGGCTGGGAGAGAAGCGCTGTCTTTGACAGAGGTGCCTTGGAGGAAGTCTGGGGTCTGAGTGCCTGGGGAGTGAGTGAGGGGCCAGAGCCCGGGACTCAGCCTCTTCTCCAGGGTGTTCCCACGGGTGCATCTGAGGCTCATGCGTCACCCAGCTGACCGTGGGATCCTCACTGTTTTTTCCCCGATGTCGCCCGTTTGCCCGGGACCCTCCCTCTGCCTAAGAGGGATTTCCGAATGCTGGGGGCTCTTGGAGATGTAGGTCCTTGCAGGAAGCAGGTCCCTCCTCCTAGTGTGGCCTAACCCGGGCTTGCCTAAGCCCACCTCCCTTGGGCCTGCAGACGCGGTGGGGTCTGACTCGTCTGGAGTCCTAGCGGGAGGAGCCTCCCGCCCAACTCGGGGAAGGTTCTGACGCTTAGTTCACAAAGAAGGAGAAAGCAAAGATAGCCCTGGCTGCAGAGCATGTCGTGGCTCTCCCCTCGGGACGCCCTGTTCCTCCCTGTGTCGCCTTGCCCCCGCCCCGACTCCGCACCCGACGCTTCCGACAGAGCCAGCAGGCGCCAGGGATGCTCACTGTGTTCTTTACTGGGCCGGGTGCTCAGGGCCGCGGGCGGGGGCGGTGGCGCCGCCTTCG